ACTTGCAGTCCAGGGCTTCCCAGAGTGTTCTTTGAGGATCACCTGAGACCCTGTGCCTGGACCAGGAGCCACCATCAGTGCATGGTGCCTGTATTTAACCTGAGCTTAGCAAATATTTGCTGATCCAATTGATGCCATTATTTTCTCTTCAAGCTCTTTTAAAATATAGAACAAAAAAAAAATAAATGAAATCTAGAACATTTCATAGAATGTTTGTATTTGTCTTTGCCTAAAGCTAATGCTTGCTGTCCTGAGATTCTCTCTCTACTCTCCACCACTGTGTCACCTTCTTCTCATGCTCATTAGAACAGTGTGGTTGGTTTGTTTGGGGATTTTGTTGTTGTTGTTTAGACTTATTTTGGCTGTTTTTGTTGGAGGGGGTTTTCTGATTTTAACTTTTACATTGTTGCTCTCTGTGGATCCTGCTATCTGGAAGCTTCCTGTGTTGTCTCACACTTTGTTCCTTCCAGAATTTGACAGATAGGTTATTTTAGATGTAATGAGAAAAACACGGTGAATTCATCACATTGCACATATTAACAGATCTTTAGTTTTTAAGCTCAATTAATTTCAGCACTTGTAGACAGAGAAAAACTAAAATGGATTCACTCGAATAGAGCAATCTCTTCCCTATATGTTTTGTGTAAGCGACCTCTAATCTTGTTTGCTTTCACACCACATTACTGCAATTAAAATAAAACAATGATTTTTTAAGGCACCAACCCTCATTGACTTTTATGTACTAGTAACAAAAGTTGAGTGACTCAAGATATGTCCCAAATACCTTAAACAGAAATTAGCAGGAAATACACTAAGCCAGGAATTGGTAATGTTATTGCCTGGGGCCCTAATGTGGCCTGGCTCTATATGGCCTGTAAGGTAAGTTTTACATTCTTAAGTAATTCTCATCAAATCTAGCCAGTAATCCCAGTGGTTCTGGAGGCTGAGGCAGGAGGATCAGGAATTCAAAGCCAACCTCAGCAAACTTAGCAAGGCTCTAAGCAACTCAGTGAAACCCTGTCTCTGAATTAAATACAATATAGGCCTAGAGATGTGCCTCAGTGATTGAGTGTCCCTGAGTCCAATCCCTGGTCTCTGCCCCTGCCCCATAAAAAAAGATCAAATCTAAAGAAAAATATTTTGTGACTTATAAAATTGTAGGGGATTCTAGTTTCCATATGCATGAATATGTAATTCGAATAGGAATAAACTTTGATTGAAACCCCACTTGTTGATCTGTGGCTACTTTTGCACTGCAAAGACTAGTAAATATAGACCTCAAGTCGAAAACAGTTACCATGTCAACCTTTACAGAGAAAAAGTGATCAGTCTCTGGACTATACAGATTATAGCCCATGGTTCGTCAAAAAGGTCTGGTACATTTCTTGGTCATATTAGGTGGAATGATAAGGCTGAGAAAAGCCCATTCTACTAGCTTTATTTTTCCCTGGAAGAAATACTTAAAGGGGAGGAATGAATGCATTGTACATTTGTGATAGGTGACTTATTTGCTTTATTCTGTGAGTAGTGGAATTTAAGAAGCCTTTCTAATTTGTTTGCACTGTTTATTTTGCTGATGCCTTTTTTATTCTGGTGGCTCACAAAAGCACAGACACTTACACACACAAAGCCTTCTTTGTCAGCAGAGTATTATACTTTACAACTCAACATTTCTGCTGATGTTCACCAAATAGCAAGGAACTAAGATCTATGGCCACCGCCTTTCATACCACCCCTTCTTGACCCTGGGTCAACTGGGCAGATTCAGCAGCAGTTCTCTTCAGAAGAGTCAATCAGATCGATATTTGAATGACAAAATTGAAATTCCTATGAGAAGGGACCAGCAGATTTTTTAGAAATGAGAATGCCTGATTTCCTCAACCAATGTTCCTGCGTTTGTTGCGTTTTTTTTTTCTGATTGTAGTCCGACCTAGTTTCTCTGTTTCTTGCTTCCTCCACACCCCTTTGGCCTTCTGTCCCAGTGGCCCTTCTTCCTAATTGCACCTTGCATATCGGTTGCTATATTTTATTTGCTTCTCCTTGATTGTTTCAGGTTGGCTTGTTCTCCTGGTCGGTCAGGATCAGTTAGGTCCCTTGAGCTTTGGCTTCTGAGATGCATGTAGAGGCTCTGATCTCTGCTCTCCCAACCACCTGGATTCTTAGCTGGGGAGCCTCCATGTGAGAGCACTGGGTCTCCAAGGTCAAGTAGGTAAAAGGAAAGAAAAAGACACAAAAAGCAAGAGGGAGCTTCCAAAAACAGGCCTTGCCTATCTTCTGATTCACGTCCAAGGGTTCCTTTTTAAATTTTTTTTTTTTTCCTGGGCATTCTTTTAAAACTTTTTTTCTTTTGCTTTTTCCTGTAGAACAAGGAGAGGTGACTCAAGTTTGGGGGCATTTGTGACATTACAGGTGCAGTGAGAAATCAGAAAGTCACCCACCCAGTTATCCTTACAGATCTTTACCTGGGAGGTGCGTTTGTCTCTATTATACAAATGAGTCAGGGGGGGGCTGGCCGTGCCGGTAACCTGTCCACCGTCAGAGGCAGAGAGCAGGCAGGACTGCTGCACCTCAAGCTGGGGGCTGTTATCAGATGGCAGCTTTGAATGCAGGAAGACTTCAGGTTGGGGCTGTGTTCCACAAAGGGGGTGATTGCACTAGGATCCTGGGAGGCCCGGGAGATGCTCTTGGCAAGTTTCTTATCCTACAGGAAATGTTAATTATAAAAGGACCCAGCGTGTGGGGAGATTGCAAAGATGGTTGTCAGAGGATTTCTTCACTTCTCTGTTTATTGGTTAGGTCAGTGAGTTTTATTGCCTATTATAGGACGAATTATAAAACAATCAACACTGAAGAGCAGTTCAGATACTCCACATGCAGATGTCCACTTTATCCTTTAGAAATGAGTTCTGCAAATCCCTTCCAAGTATTGTGATGACTGTTTCTTTAGCTCACAAAGTATCTCACCCTGTGTTTTTAGTCCTGTTAAAAGGATTTACGAATTAAAACTTGTACGATTGTTAGTTTCTTGGGATTTACTCTGTTATTTTAGTGTTATTGTCCTATAATTGGATACATTTCTGTCTTAGTCCATTTATGTTGTTAGAACAGACTGGGATCATTTATAAAGACAGATATTTATTTTCTCACAGTGCTGGAGGCTAAAAGTCCATGACCAGGGTGCCAGCATTTGGTGTCTATTGAGGGCCTGTTGGGTCCTCACATGGTGGAAGGCAGAAAGGCAAATCAGAGTGGAACAGTGCACTCACCAAACCCGGCAAGAAGTCTCTTTCTTAAAGGCCTTAGTTTTTCTCAGAGGTCCCACCTCTTAATACTATCACACTGGAATTTTGGAGGGGATCTATTTAAACCAGAAAATGAACATATTCTGCTTTAATTCTAAAATATACTAAATGCCTTCGGTAGGACTTGCTACTGTCTTGCAAATAAACTCTGTTCTCATTTAAGCCCTGTCAAGGGATCTTCCTGAGTTAGGTTTCTGTTCCTCAACTTTGCATTGCTGTAACAAAATATCTAAAGAAATAACTTAAAGGAGAAAGGATTTAGGAGGCTCACAGTTTCACAGAGTTTAGTCTACGGCCAGCCTACTTCATTGCCCTGGACCTGAGGCAGGGTAGAACTTCATGGTAGAAGGGCTTGGTGGAGAAAAGCTGCTCATCAGCTCATGTCAGCTGGAAAGCAGAGAGAAAGTGAGAGAGGGGAAGGGACCAGGGACAAGACATAGTCCCTCAGGGAATGCCCTCAGTGACATACAGTCATGCCCCACCTGGCGACAGGTACCACCCAGTAGTCCATTCAGATTATGACTCTATCAATGGATTAATCCATTGATGAGGTCAGAGCCCTCAAGATCCTTTCAGTACCACAAACTCCACCTCTGAAAATGGCTGCAGTGAGAACCAAGTCTCCAACACCCGAGCCTGCGGGAGACATTTCAGATCCATACCGTAGTTGCCCGTAGGTGTTGGCATTTCTCTGCCCCTTTCTGCCACAGGACTCCTCTCAGGTATTCTATGTGTTAAAGCTACGCTGGACTCTGTCTTGGTTTGGGAAGTGGATGTTTCCCTCCTGTCTGTCCTTTCAGTGTGCATGGATCCTGGCTCCTCCTTGGTGTCTTCTCTAGCTCATTGATTTCTCCTCTGTATTTTCCCAGCTCTGAGCTGGGCTCACTTCCACTTAGCCTTGTACGTTGGAGTAAGTCACAAATAATATATATCCTATCGTCACTTCACTGGCAGCTCTTTGAAATTGGACATCATGGTAAACTTGTATCTTTCATCAAGTCGATGTTGATGCATCTTGATGAACTGATTTGTTGTTTCTGAAGGATCCTATATCTCAAAAATTAAATAGATTCAGCATCCCCAGTGAAAGAATCTGAAATGAAAAATAAAGATTATTAATTTTTATGAGTGCCAGAGATGGCCACACTAATCCCCAGATGGGTTTGTGACCAGCCACCTTGGCAACACCCTAGATATCTTGGAGCCTTGGCGGCCCTTAAATTTTAAAAAAATCATGAAAATGACTGCCTTGCTTATATGTTAGGGTTTTCATAAGGATGCAAAGTTACATCTGAAAACGTTGAGAAATCACTAAATTGTTTCACATACAAAATGTTGTTGTTTTATTTCATTTCCACAGTCCTAGCATTTAAGAAAAACTTAATAGGGGTTTACAAAATTTTTTTTTAAAAAAAATGTACCATGTAGATGATGTGTATCTGTAGCATTGCAATTTTGATTTATAGTCCAGTTTGTACCCTGAGAGTGATTAATGCGTGGACATAAATAAATAAATGTGACCGGTGTTGAGGGAATCATCTGATTTACCTTGTAATCTGCAAAGCCAGTCTCTAGTGAATCACACTGGGAGACTTGGCAGATTTTGGGATTACACCCATTGGTTAGAAAAAAACAAACGTCCCTTCCCCATAATCCCTGCATAACCCAGGATTTGTGCCTTTGTGTTTTCATTATCAGGCTTCCATCTCTACCACAAGTTGCCCACCATCGTGCCCGAGAGCTGCCTTCTCATAATGGTGGGACTTCTACTTGGTGGCATTATCTTTGGTGTGGATGAGAAGTCGCCCCCCGCCATGAAGACCGACGTGTTCTTCTTGTATCTCCTGCCACCCATCGTGCTGGACGCCGGCTATTTCATGCCCACTCGCCCCTTCTTTGAGAACATAGGCACTATTTTCTGGTATGCCGTGGTGGGAACACTGTGGAATTCCATCGGCATCGGGGTGTCCCTGTTTGGCATTTGCCAGATTGAAGCCTTCGGCCTCAGTGACATCACTCTGCTCCAGAACCTGCTCTTTGGCAGTTTGATCTCAGCCGTGGACCCCGTGGCCGTGCTCGCCGTCTTTGAGAACATCCACGTCAACGAGCAGCTCTACATCCTGGTCTTTGGGGAGTCCCTGCTGAACGATGCTGTCACAGTGGTGAGTGACACGTCCTGCGCGGTACCGTGGCACCTGGAGCCCAGTGCTCACCTGCATCTTAGCGGGTTTCCTCTGAGGACGCAGAGGAAGCAAACCAAACGCACTTTCTCCCAACAAGGTGCCTCCGACTGCTGCTGTGAGTGGGTGTTTCGCCACCCAGCCACCAGCTAGGTGTCCTGGAATTCAGTTCAGTTCCGGCAGCCCACCTGGAGATAGCATCAGATCCCCCAGGTGGCAGGCTCATCCCCAAGTGCTCCTCCCCCTTGACGCCCATCGCCAGCCCCAGGCGTTTTACCTGTGCATCTGATAGAGAGGCTCCAAGTCCGAGGTTCTTATGACCTCCTCCTTGCCAGGGAAGGTCACAGCACTCAGGGAAACACGTTTGCTGGTTTACTAAGGATATTGCAAAGGATACGGATGGAGAGGGGGAGTAGCAGCTTCCGTGAGCTCTGTGGGTGCACCGCCCTTCAAGAACCTCCACAGGTTCAGCTCTCCAGGTGTCCTCTGAACCATGCCCTTTTGGAGCTTTATGGGTGCTTCATCACGTAGGCGTGGCTGAAGGTTAAATCACTGGATACCAGTGATAAAATGAACCTTCAGCCCCTTTGTCCTCTTCTGAGGTCGGAGTAAAAGTCCCAGCCTTGTAATCCCACCTTGGTCTCTCCAGTGACCAGCTCCAATCCTGAAGCTACCCTGGGGCCACCAGCCATCAATCATTAGCATACACTTCAGAGATTCCAAGCATTTTATAAGTTATATGCCAAGAAAGTGGGCAAAGACCAAATATATATATATCACAGAATCACAGCCCCTCACTTAGATTAATGCTCCAGTGTCACTGCCTTGAAATTCTTTATACTTTTCTAAATGTATTTGCTTACTTTTTATTTATTATGGTACAACTGGCCCCTCATTTTCATTTTGCACCAGGTTTCACAAAATATGTAGCTAGTCCCTTCATACAAGGCCCTGGTCCTCAGAGGAGCACGAATGTGACTGTGGTCTTTGTGCCTCTGATGATTCATCATTTTGGCATTTTTAAATGTGATGGTCTTTCACCACAATGTTACACTTCAGATCCCAAGAAATCTTTGTGAGAAGTAATGCCACCGATATGTATTAACATCTGCGGAACAACAATACCTACTAAGTGCCCATTCTCTACCTGGTGGCAACTTATGTGTTATGTTAACAATCTTAATGAAAAATTTTGCCACATGTTCATTTTCTGTTACTATCCAACCAGCACATCCCTAGTTTTCATCATTTTCTCCTAAGTGGGTACTTATTTGAACAACAACTTATTTTTAGTTCTCTTTTAATTGCTACATAATTAGATTCAGAGGCCGTTATGATCTTAAGGTTTAGCACAATTCCAAACTCAGGCAAGGGTGGAGAGGCAGGATGAGGAAACATCTCCCCTTGCCCACAGATCTGCAGACAGCTCTTCCTGTAATATTTAGAGATTCCCAAGTGATCCTGGATTAATAAATCAATTCGCTAGCTCTGGCGATGCTGTAGTAGGGGTGACAGACATGATAACCATTAATCTTTAGTGAATGCTTCCCTTGTGCTCAGTTCTGTGAGAACCTATGAAGTAGGTATTGTTCCCATTTTGCAGATAAGAAAATTGAGGCAGGGGAAATGTTAAATAAAGCATGGTTTAAATAACAATTTTAAATACCCTTTCTATTAACTCCTACCCTTAAAATGTTACTCCTAACTTAAGAGCCTGCCTAGAAACCATTGTCCTCTGATAATTATATTCTACGGCAAACAGGGATCTCTGAAACTAAAATATCATCTTCTATATGGATATTGTTATGTAGACAATTCATTAAAAGTTTATTGACCATAACTTTTAGAGTGCCTGCTAAGATGGGTGTTTAAGATTGCTGCTGGCTCACTCCCAGAACCAAACCAAATTCATATATTCTATCATTTATTAACAGTCATTAACTTACCAATATTAAATTTTAACTTGAAACTGCCCCAATATCGAAGACATTTTATAACTCGCTGTAACTTCCCCAGGCATCAAGTTTTCCACAGTGACTTCAGTATGTAAATTTTACCCTTGTTGAAGGACACTGTGCAAATTTGCATGTGGAGTGCTGGGAGTGAATCTATTAATGAAAAGGGAACTTGGCAGAGAAAGGAGAACCCTTGCTGCACTCCTTCTAGGGGGTGCTCAGCAGAGTCAGGCCAGTTCCAGAATGCTTCCCATTTACACTGCGGCCCTGCTTCTCAGAAAATTTCTCAAGCGCCGCCTGAGTCTCCATCCATTCTGTAAGGTTTTCCGGAATCGTATTTCAGGAAGGGATCAGGATAAGTCAGTGTTTAGAGTGTGCTAAGGCAGCAGGCAAGTCCTGAGCTTCCTCTCAGAGGCACGGAGCCATCCACTGTGGATTTATGGATGGAGAGTGGGGCCTGGCCCAGGGAGGGCAGTGGGCCAGACTGACAGCTTGCCCTTCCAATAAGGAAGGGGGACAAGGACAGAGAAAGGACACAGCTGGTTTAGAGGTGAAAGCCATTGTCCACAGCCAGAGCCAGTAAATCAGAACAACTCCAATGGCTCTGTAGAAAAGGGCCTTCCTTGATACCAAGACACTGGCTTGCAAGCACAGAACCCAGGCCACAGGATGTCAGGGTGTGCCCAAGGGTTTCCCTGCCTAATGCCAAAGAATAAACTACCTGATGTTTCTCCAACTGAATTGGCAGAAGACTGTACTTATTGGAACATGTCAGGAACAATGAGAACAATGGTGTCAAAATTATTACTTTTTCTCCTACTCAGATATCCTCAAAGAATAGGGGTGGAGATGTTTTATTGGAGATTCTGTGATTCATTCTTCCAGTCTTATCTCCAGAAGAGGGACTTATCTCCCGGAGAGAAACTCATACACTAGAAAAGGGTATTGAAAATGTGGATCATGATGCCTACAGTAAAGAAGTTGCAGGTGGAGTGATTTAGGTAAATCAAAAAGAATTAATGTTAAAATTGTAGCTTTAGAGCTCTTAACCTCTTCCCAGGTCATGATGAATCTAATACTGACACGAAAAGGTGAAAGGAAGAAATTCTAGTACAGAAATGTCTCAAAGCAAGAGAAATTGTGTATATATACATGGTAGATCAAAGATCATGGTATTGTCCAAGAGTATCATGTATTAAAATTAAGCAAAAAAAAAAAGGCCAACTAATTGAACAATAAATGGGTGATTTCTAAATAGAATTTTTGTGTTGTCTCTTATAGATCATATTTTATAAAAATTTTTCAAAATCTGAAGATTCTTTCAGTTCTCAGCTGTCTGAGATATCCTGCTACTTCCATAGTAGTCCATAGACAAGTGACATGCTCAGATGGTTATTGTCAATGTCATTCTCAGAATCCATTAATGCAGCTATTGAGAAGTTTCACAAATTTTCCAAGAAGTCTTAAAGAGCTTCCTCAAGCATTTCCTAGTTTCCTACCCTTAACTAGGCTTAGTTCAGGAAAGCTTGCTCCGAGACAGACCCTGAGATATACCCCAGGGGCCAGTGAGTGGGGACTCTGAAATGGAATTTTTGAGGAAGATTGGTAAGCAATGACCACTTATAATTTAATTTTGACTTTGAAAATAGCAAAATAGATCTGAAATTCATTATGCAAAAGTGATTATCATTTATGTTTTATATAAGAGAAAGTGCTGAACACCTTTTTTTTTCTGGAATAGAGCTACTTTAATAAATAAAATTTGCAGTTTACATCCTTACCTTACATGGTTCTATGGAATCAGTACACATTGTAAATCAAAAGTCAAAATAAAGCCAGGCTAGTGGTGCACGCCTGTAATCCCAACGGCTCGGGAGATTGAGTCAGGAGGATGGTGAGTTCAAAGCCAGCCTCAGCAACAGTGAGGTGCTTAGCAACTCAGTTAGCCCCTGTCTTTAAAGAAAATACAAAATAGGGCTGGGGATGTGGCTCAGTGGTCGAGTGCCCCTGAGTTCAATTCCCAGTACCAAAAAAAAAAAAAAGAAAAGAAATAAAAATAACTAATTCCCAATTTATATATATATATATATTAATCATAACAAACAGAACTTTGATTTCAGTTTAAAAGCATTCAGCTATCAAATTAGCTCACTATGGAATTTAGCAAAGTCATCACTAAAATTTTAATCTCCTAAAAATACAAGTGTCAAGTTGACCCCATCTTTGTATAGAATTGGTGGAGAAATGTTAGCAGCCCTCTTACATCATATATATATATATATATGTACATATCATGCATATATACATATATATTAAAACTTCAAAGGACTTTTCTGTATCAATTCCTTTGGATAAAATTAAAGGATTTAGGTTGAATGAACTAAGTATGGAGATTTGGCCAGTTGTAACTAAAATCATTTTATCTTGAGCTGATCCACGGATGTCAGGTTCAGTGTCAACCAAGTTGGAGGTCATGGAAGGCATTCTGGTTGTCAAGATAACGTTTCTGCCTAAGCCATTTCTTCAAACATGGTGCTGACATCTCAGGCGATTGATCAAACTGGAGCTTCTGCCCAGTGTGCTGAAAGTCAAGTGCCTAGGACTCTTAATGACATCTAAAGGGATATTTAGAGTAGATTGTACCTTTGGTAGAATGATGGATTGAGTTGCCCAAGAAAACAGTTTTGGAGGATGATGAAAGTATGACCACCTGCTGGTGCCAGTTCTTCTGTGACCCTGAGCACTTATGTCCCTTGTAGGTCTTATCAGAGGGCCAGATGGGGTGGGGGGCAGGGAGAGGGGGAGGAAGACACTCACTCCAACCCTGGGCTCTGTGTGGGAAAGAAACGTCTGATTTTGTGGAGGAAGTGAGGCCTTCGTTCAAGAGGCAGTACCATCCACACAAGATGGTGCCTTGCAAAGCAGAGAACAGTCTGGGATGCTTCCATTTGTGCATTGTCAGAGGTCACGGTGAAGGGAGGATTCACAAGGGTTGTGGTCATCCAGGAGGGCTCTTGGGAGAGACAGTAGCGTTAGCTGTGCCTTAAAACATCAATAAAAGTTCCCCAGGTTTAGTGACCAAGTTTTTTTTTTTTTCAAGGGAAACATCAGGAAAGAAAACCTGGGCAGAAATCAATAAATATAATGTGGTTTGGGAGGCAGTAGTGAAATCCTCACCCAGACTTGGTGAGGATGCACCCAGGGGTTGAAGAGAAATAAAAATGTAAAAAAAAAAAAATTAAAAAAAAAAAACCTTTTAAAGGTGTGTCGAGTGTATTGAGAATATCAGGCCTTCCGGGGTCAGGCAACCAAAGATTTTAATCTTGGGAGTGGAAAGTGGAAGGGCAGCATTTAGAGGAGGTTTCTTGGGGTGACTGTAGGGGGCATTATTGAAAGGAAGCAGTAAGACTACTGGTGCAAACTAGAGGCAGGGAGCCCTGGAGCCAGGGAGAGAAATATCATGTCCAAATGGATTAGAGGGGCACTATCAGGGCAGAAACAATGTGTCGCAGAATGGCGGGGAAACCCATCTCTCCTCTCTCTTTCTTCCAAGATGCTCCTGACTGTCACCTTTGGCTTTGGCAGTTGGAGGCTTGGGGTGTATGTAGCACATCTCTGACCCCCCTTTCAGGAAGCCCTTGTTGTAAGCCACTGCTGTGGGTCTCCCATCCTGCAGCCAGCCTCTGGCTGAAAGTAACAAGCAGATGCTACTTGGAACCAGTTTCTTCTGTGTTTGGCAAACGATGATATCTTCAAAATATTGAATTCCTCAAGGGTGGAATTCTCTTTCGTTCTCCTCTCGAGTCGTTTCTTGATGGTAAGATACTAAATGTTCTTGGGTATCGTATCAAGAATCAGGAGAAAGAAAATGCCCACTGCTTTCTCAGGAATTACCCACTTTTTTCAAGCATTTATTGAATCTACAAGGTAACATGGAGGATGTAAACCATAAGGTATTGTTTGATCCCGAGGAACTGATAATCCAGGAGAGAAGAGAAAACAAAGCATACCCAAACCCGTAATGTGGTATGCTATGTAGATTGTCTCAGGTGAAGCAGAAACTAGTGTGGGGTAGCTTTTGCCAGCACACAGGCTGGTTAGCAGGAGGACTCTGACTCACTTGTCCACGTTGAACCTTGAGCACCTTCACCAGGTCAGGAGAACTGCATTCTGACATTGCCCCTGACATTATGTTTTCACTTGACCATGGACAGCTTGGATCAATTTTGAGTTTCTCAGAATTGAAATGAAGGTATAGCACAGCCTTTGTCTCTTTGTTAGTTGGTTCTCCCCCAACTTCCTAGGTGCTCCCAGAGTTGTAAATATCATGGTGAAAAGCTGTAGGGAAACTGAACTTGTATTTGACTTTCTGGTTTGTGAAAAAAAAAAAAATGGCAGGACTCAAACCATCCTTTCCTAGTCTGTTGAACTCAGCACCCCTCCCCCTCCAAGGGTCAAAAGCGCATTACCCAGTGTGAAAGAAGTGCCTAGCTATCCCAAAGCCACGCAGAGAAACCAAGAAACCAAACAACAGTGTTGACTCATTATTTCAGAGGTAGAAAATATGTACGAGCGTCCAGATTGTGCGTGCCCTCTCTCCCTCCCCCTGCACACACACCCACACACCCTCTTTGATTTAAGGAACTCTTCTAGCTCCGCTGCAGGCAGGAGGAGATGGGATATGGGGTGAGGACTATGGTGACCTGGGAGCAGGACTACTTTACTTGAGTGCTTCTACTGAGGGGTGGGTCCCTTCCACCTTCCATGGAGTGACTCCATGATAGGACCTTGCAAGTATATCCACAGGAGTGCTGGTAAGATTCTCGGGGACATGCGACTCCTAGACAATAGAGTCATGAGGGAGGCTGGTGAAGGGCTATTCTCAAATACTCATTCAGGTGATACTGGAAAACGGGATGATTTCGGAGTAAGTGAAGTAATAACCCTGGAGTCTCCTGGCCTTTACTTTTAAAAGTAGTTTTCCTGACAGCATACTTTTATCAAAGATTTGTGTGTGTTTGTTTAAAACCACAATATGAATGTTGGCGACAAGGAGCTACACAATGAGTGCCCCGAGTCATCCTCTTAGAAGGCCAGGTAGGTTGTCCGTGTCCAGGGAGACAGAGGGGATCCCAGGGGGTCTTGACAGTGTGCTTTCTTTCTCCCCCCAGGTCCTCTACAACTTGTTCAAATCCTTCTGCCAGATGAAAACCATTGAGACCATCGACGTGTTTGCAGGAATCGCTAACTTCTTTGTGGTGGGAATTGGCGGAGTGCTGATTGGCATCTTCCTGGGATTTATAGCAGCGTTTACTACTCGTTTCACACACAATATCCGTGTGATTGAGCCGCTCTTTGTCTTCCTGTACAGCTATTTGTCCTACATAACAGCTGAAATGTTTCATCTCTCAGGCATCATGGCGTAAGTATTTCTTTGCTAAAAGCCCTTGATGAGTATATTCCATTGAATTCATGCATTCAAAGAGAAGACAGTAACATTGAATAGGTTATATCAAAGACTAGGTTGTCTGATTGTAAGAAAAATTGAAAATAGATTTTTCTTACCCTTTGTTATAAAGAAATGAAAACATCAGTCAAATTTATGCTCATCTAATCTAGGCTACGCTGCAAAGCTACCTAAAAGTTCTCTCTTGAGTTTCACATGAGATGTGACAATAAGCTTGGCGTTGATCTTGATCAGACACCAGAATTTTGTGAGGTTGGTCACCATTCAGCGGGGTCCTTGTGACAGGCTGCAAAATATTCTTAACAAGGTTGCCTGACATAAACTGTTCCACACATTCTGGAATTGCTTCTGTATATCCATTTGAATAATCTTAGTGGTAGAGATATGTTCTGTAATAGATTTTAATAGACGCAAGAGCTAAAAGCATTGAAAGCAGAATTCAGTGAAGAAGGGATGTGGTCGTGTGATTTCCGTTTAGTTGTTGGGATATTAAGATCCAATTATAGAGCAAGACATTATTATTAAAAATTATGTTAATAGATGGTTGCAATGGCACATGCCTGTAATCCCAGTGATTCATGAGGCCGAGGCAGGAGGATCACAAGTTCAAAGCCAGCCTCAGCAACTTAGTGAGGCCCTTAGCAACTCAGTGAGACCCTGTCTCAAAAAAAAAAAAAAATCAGTTAATGTATCATTCGTTTTAACTGACTGTCCCTGGTGAACTGACTTCTAAAAATGGCCTGAAGAGCCATGCATGGTGTTGCACACCTTTAATCTCAGTGACTCGTGAGGCTGAGGCAGGAGGATCACAAGATCAAAGCCAGCCTCAGCAATTTAGCATGGCCCTGTGCAGCTTAGTGAGACTCAAAATTCAAAATTCAAAAAGAGGACTAGGGGTGTCAGTGGTTAGACACCCCTGGGTTCCATCCTTGGAACCAACCAAACAAACAAACAAAAATGAACTGAGGAGCGGTAGCATTTTGGATCCCCCTGAGGCCTTCAGTGTGTTGCTTCAAAGCAAGCTACTCCTTGGATGTGGATATCTATGTGGCTTCTCAAAACAAGCCTAAAATATCATGGTCACACTCTCCTTAGGGATAGTGAGAAACACCTTAGTAATGAATAATGAACAGCTTTCAGTTTCAAAGAAGGTGAACAAACATGTATTTGCAGCCCCACATTGCACTAGGCTGCAAGCTAGGACTGCTAAATGAAGTTAGAATTCTGCTGCTCTAAACAAAGTCCTCGTTCTTCCTGGAAATTTCTCTCCTAACCTGATTTATGTGATGCTTTGACGAAAGATGATCTTGTTTTCCACCTTATGCTTCTGCATCAGCAGCAGATGAGGTCTGTGGTGGAGGAAATCCAAGCCCCTGCGAAAGGAGAGTGGGACTCATTGTTGTGGAAGCCCTGGGTGGAAGGTGGGGTGGTGTCCTGTTTCACAGGGAACCTAAATAAAGCCACATATTAATCCAGTTTGACCCGGTAATGACATGTCTTCCTGGTTACTATTCATATCGTTTGTGCGACTCCCAGTTTCCTCTGTTCTTCGCAGAGCGTCATTGGCAATATGTGATCAGCTAGTCACAGGTCTATAAGAAGAGTGTGGGGGTGGGTCTCCGTGTCTAGTTTTGCAGCAGTGTTGTTCTAGAAACAGTCTGTGGGGGGTGGGGACCTTGAAGTGCAGAGCCTAGTATATGATCCTGGATTTGTGCATATGTCCATGTTCTAAGAGAACACTCAAAGAGTAATGATGTGAAGAAGTCCTCTTACCCGCTGTTAAGGTCAGGAACTGCGCTCTCCAGAGATCCATAGTATGCAGAGATAGTTGAAGAGTTGGATGAGATTGGAACCCTGGTGCCTGAGATATGTCAGGAGGCCCAAGGTTGGCTGGGGTCAGAAAGCTCATGAGCATCAGATCCTGAACCACTCAGGAAGGCAGGGCGCTGGGTTCATTTGTACTGGAAATTCAGAAATCAGAGAGAAATAGAGCCATATGCTTTTGCCAGCGCAGGTAACTCTGGGCTGTGGTTTGTGGGTGGATGCTAAACACTGCCTTTCCTTCCGACTTTAAAGAGAACTTGTATTTTAAAACATAGTGTGGAGAAAATTCCTTTAGTACATTTGAATTATTTTGTCCTTGTACCTAGTGCACCAAAACAATGAACGAAGCCTTATATAAGATATTGAGGAGAGGTAAACGTTTTTGTGTCTAGAGTTACCATTTGCACTCACTGTCCTATGACAGCAAATGAAGGGACAGAGTCACCCTGGCTGCCCTTGGTCCTCAGAAGTGATGCCATTTTCTAATGTCAGGGAATTCATGCACCATTCAAAGCCTGGTAGTGTGTGCTGCTTCCATGTGGTGTAGATCACAGTGGCACGTGACACCACCCCCGCCACCTTGAAGTAAGTCGTGGCCCTTCCACGTGGTAATTACTGTGTTCACCTTGGGACATGTGGTCCAAGGAATCCAGTTTATTGATGCTATTAAAAGTGCACGTAGATGCACACCTCTTAGAGCATGAATGATTGTGGGGAGGCTTAAATCGTACCGAATTTAAGAAATTCCTATTGTATTTCATGCAAATTGTACTTCTTGCCATTTAAAAACCAATTTTAAGGTTAACGGGAGTGAAGATGCTTGTGGTGACAAACTTGAGAGATTGGAAAGGAAAATCTGGCAGAGACAGGAGGTGGGTGAGCCTCTAAAAAGCCCACCAAGGATTTGTATAAGGCCTGTAAAACTCGGACCACTTGAGTCTAGGCTACTGTCCTCCTGCTTGGCCTCCCTGTCTTCTTCTACCTACCTTTCCTTCTCCTTCCCTTTTTCTTCTCCTCAGTGCTGGGGATCGGATCGAACCCAAGGCCTTTTGCGTTGGAGGCCCTTGCTGTCTGCTGAGCTGCTCCCCAGCTTCAGTCCAGTTCTCTACACACAGGAGCCTCACCTTGGGTAGACCTTGTCCTAGAGGGAGATGGTTTAAGGAGAGGGTAGTGGGGTTAAAAACAAACTCCCTTCCGTGTGACAGGAGACTTAGCTTTGGATTTAAAATGCAGCCAGTCTTTTAGGTAGGAGAAGGCTCGGGCAGGATTTGTGTCTTGATTTTGGTGGCAAAATATGGGAAGCAGGTTGCTGTTGCTGCTGTGGGTTGTTCTCAGACCTTGGTTTTACATGTGTTCCACCGACAGCCAGTACACTGAGTAGTAGGCAATGGGGTCACGTCTGGGTTTGGGGAGATGAGTTCTGGGCATGCTTAAGATTTGGCCTCCTCTTTGTGGTCTTTCCTAATAAGCACTTCAGAACTGAATTTAATGTTAAGGAATCGTTTCTGCCCAGGAGGGTTTTCAATTCAAGCATGAAGAGAGAAGATGAAAATCCTTATTTTAAAAATATTATTCTGCCTGTTTATTCACTGGAATTGATTATAGCAGTAGGAAAAAGTGTGTAAAGTATGTGTGTGTGTGTGTGTGTGTGTGTGTGTGTGTGTGTGTGTTTGAGAGTTTGGTTCCCTAGCGTGAGACCTAAAGTTCAGGGGCAGATTCTGTCGTCCCCCAAACAAGAAATTTTGCACATCAACAGCAACAGACACCTTCCAGGACTGAAGCACTTTCTCCAGAAACGTGGAAGGGATTCCTGTTAAGGCTTCCAGAAATTCTTGTCTTTGCCCATGCATTTCAGACTTGACATTCAGAAAAATTCTCAGATAAAGCACTGACAGTCCACCACAGACAGTGGGGGACTTCATGTCGTTTTACTTTGTTTACCCGGGGGCCTTAACATCGGCCTCAAGTGATGGCTAAAAATCAGATCTCTGCAGATAGAACTGAAAGTACGATTCATTCTCCTTTTTGGACATCTGGCTCTGGTCCTTACCTTGTACCACACACAGTCACCTGGGCTCTGATTAATGGGACATTGAAGGCACACTGTCCTGCAGAGTGGCAGAACATGGCCAGAGGGTGACTGAGTATAGTGATACCAGCACCCTGGGTCTCCAATGATAGCAGCAACCCAGTCCATTAAAAGGGAAAAAAAATCACCTTTAAAAACATTTTAAAAAAGAGAATTTAATAGGAATTTCCAGGATGAGAGGTTCGGGGATGGGATCTAGGAGCAGGTCCAACGATCTGAACTGAGACAGTCACTCCTGAAGGATGACAACCTTATTCCCTCTGCTTCCTGTTTTGCTTTATAAAGAGGACAATTGCCGTCTCTCCTGTAGCTTTGTTACTGAACCCAAGTCCATTTACTCACCGCTTGAAAAGGGCCCAATGACTTGAGCACCAGTTGTTGGGGCAAAGAAACAGATTTATTCAGCGAGTCTGCAAGACTGGGAAGATGGTGGAGGAGCTCCTGAAAGACCATCTTAATTCGACACAGGTTTAAGCTCCTTTTAGCTTTAGGAGGAACTGATTGTTGAAACCTGGCAGCTGGTAATTTGTTGATTTGCATCCTTCTTGCAGGGGGAGGAGAGAGATTAGGGAATTTTCAGGTAAATGAACCTCATGCTGTTAGGTTCAAGGATTAATGAGGGCCGTGTCCTCAGGGAGACAGAAGCTCTTTCCAGCCCAGGTGCAGCCACAGCTTCCCTCCTGGTTCCTCTTAACCATGCTTTGTGGCATTAGGAGACCGCCTCTTCAAGATTCAAGGATATGAAATCATTACCCTATGTGTGAGAAGGTTCCAGAACGACTAGGTCATGTTTACGGGGGTTCTCAAAGATCTAAAATTAAAAAAAACATTTCAGAACATTCATAAAACATTACACAGAACCTCATATTTATAACACACTTTTGAACCCAAGGAGCCACTAGATCGATCTTTTGACGTGTGAAGGACCAGCAGGCTGAGAGTTGGATGGAAGGGCTGGAGGGGTCAAGGCTGTAGTCTGAGATCTGTGCCTCCATGGTCCCTGTACTTCACTGGGTCACTGTATCTTCAATTATCCTGGAAA